GAGCCGGGCCAAAAGCATCACTGTGGTGATGCCTGAAAGGAAGAAACGAGAATAATTTCTGCTGGGCAGCCCTTTGGGCAGATCCCAAACCTCTGGCAGGTCCTGGAGATGCCAGGGGAAGGTGGGTGCTGCTGCTTGTCACAGCATGGGACGTTTTTCCCATCCTATTCCCCTCACTTCAACAACTCCATGGGGACCAAAGCAGTTCTTCTGAGAGCAACCAGTGGCAGAAAATGCATCTGAGCCACCTTCTAAAGCACCAAGGCTTGCGTGAAGACCCCAAAATCAACATTAAAGCCATGCCACATTAATTTATTGAAATTCAATTGGGAAGAGGAAAGAGATCTGCTGAATTAAAGCAGCTTTAATGAAGCAGAAAAGCAGAGGCACGGAAATGTGATGCCGCTGAAATCACCTGCACCTCTGGTTGACTTGGATAGATCTTAGGGCACTGCACAGAGTGAGCATCCAATGCACTGAGTACAGTGCATCCAGGCTTCCATCCATCCATGGATGTCAGGAGCTGGAAATCAGGCTTCCTCTGGTCCATAGCAGCAACAGAAGACCCCACTGAGAACCCAAAAAATGCACTGCAATGCTGCTGGATGTGCAGGGAAACAGGCTTGAGATCTTTCCTCTGCATGACCTAGATCCAAAGTCTTGCCTGTAGCCTGTGTTTTATACTGAATTAAATAACGGCAGCCCATAACACAACGTGTACATCTCCTAAGTGGATTGAAGCCTCAAGCTTTATAGATTTCATGCTTCTTTTTAGTGCAATTTTATAGTGCATTTCTCATCGCTCCTTTTTTTTTTTCTTCAGCGTGTTGCTTGATTAATTGCTATGAAATGTTCATCGTTATCCGACAATTCCTGAAACACAAATGCAGAACTCCTTGATTGTATTTCTTATTTACAGCCCTGTAGCCTGAGTGATTTCCAATTTACTGCGCCGTTATATTAGGTCAATACATAATACCTTGGGCCACTCCAGAAAGATTAACCACAAGTGGATTCCCTTTCCAATCAAATAGTCCCTGCTGTAAATTACAGTTCCCTTTACTATATTTGATTGCATTTCTGCCACCTTTCTCACACAGTGCAATAAAACAACACCCCCCCCATGCATCCCTGCCACTCTGTGCTGTGACAAAGATGGGTAACTGCAGAATTTGGGGGACTTGGTGTCATTTTGTTCCCTACAGCTGCCTGAAGGAAAGTTGCACTGAGGTGGGGGTCGGCCTCTTCTCCCAGATAACAGCAAAAGGATGAGAGGGAATGGCCTTAAGTTGCACCAGGGGAAGGGTCAGGTTGGATATTGGGTATCCAATCCTGTAGAATTCTACAGAAGAGTGGTCAAGCATTGGCACAGGCTCAAGGAGGTGGGGGAATCACCATCCGTGGAGGCGTTCAAGGAATGTGGAGATGTGGCATTGAAGGACACGGTCAGTGGGCATGGTGGGTTGGGTTGGGCTTGGGGAACTCACCCACACCACTTGCAGCCCACGGCTTCTCCATTGGTTACTGGAATGAGTTCTCTCTGGTAAGCATTCCTCCACCTCACGGAGCACAGCTATGCAAGCTGTTCTGCTGTGGGTTTTGTCTGTTCGGATCTTAATTCCCATGCGGATATCCTGACACCCGGAATGTTTAAAGCCTTCTGCAAAGCACACGGGTGACGTGAAGGCTTCAGACACACGTCATTTTCCTAATCTTTTCATGATTAAAGTAAAATGCTAGAAAATACCCATCCCAGAGGTGCAAAATTCAGAAGACGAGGATTTCCAGCTCTTCAAGCTTTTTTTATTTTTCTATCGTCATTTCTTTTCCACCTCTCCCATGACTTTAACAGTCCTGACACAGTATTTTGTGCCCCCAAAGCTGCTTGATGCCATGGCACCCAGGCAGTCAAAATACCCTTTCTTTGCACTGGAAAATCAAGACTGAAGCAGTCTGTGCGCTCACTATTCCAAAATTAGATTGCATATAAATTTAACATGCTCAAATAATGGGCTTGCATATGCACACAGTTGAGCAAAAGGTGTATTATTCCAACGCAAAGAACTTGTTAGACAGGATATTTCAGCTTCCCAAGATATTAATGGATACTCAGCAAAGGTCTTTTTAGAATGATAATACACTTCACTTTGTTTGCCGAGTCGGTAACAATTAAATCACTTTTTAGATTACAAAGCCTGTGCCAACGTGACACAGCAGCAGCAGCTTCCAGAGCAGCCCTATCCCAAGCTATGAAGCAATACTTTCCATCTTAGTTTCTTATTTGAATTGCAAAGAACGATGGTTATGGCTTTTGTTTGTTTTTTTCCTTAAGAACAGAGGTCCCGAGGCATGCAACCAGCAGCAAAATGAGGGTTTTTGACTCTGCACACCAGTCAAAATGCATTTTTATGGCACCTCCACATCTGACGCAAAAACCAGAAGGGCTACATGACCAAATACAGAGTATGACACCATTATTGTAAGTTTGCTTTAATAAAGATCAGCCCTGCACCCAAGAGAACCCAAACTCCGTGTCAATGAGGGTCTGAGGCATCTGAGATGCATGGGAAAGGTCCTGCAGGGTGCTCTGGCCACAGTTTGACTGAACTGGGGCTCTTCTGGGTGGCTGTTTTCTATGAGGAAGACAATCACAAGATGCACAAACCAAGGCCACCATGATGGGCAAGATAACCACATCTTTTTCAAGGTAGATATCTCCCTGATATGATGGAAGATGGCCAACCCTCAGCATCCACGATGTCCTTCAAGAAATGCCAATGCCACGTCTGGGACAAGGAGCAGCACGGGAGGCTGCCAGTGCTGATGGCTCTGGGTTTGAGCAGCCTCACTGGAGGGATGCTGCAGAAGCTGGAATATGGAGATGAAAGGTTGAGCATCTCAACCTCACAAAAATCACTGCCCAAGAGGCAATGAAAAGAGCTGCTGAGAACAGGAGGGGCTATGGGGGAAATGGAGCAACAAAACCAGACTGTAGAAACGTGTGAAGAGAACATAAGGATAGAGCAGGAAAGTTTAGGTTATAACAGAGATAATAATTCACTGGGAAGAAGAAACTCCTTCAATCCCAGAAGTATCCTCATCCCTACTACGGATATGGCACTGCAGTGCAAAGATTCCACTCCATGCCATCCTTATCCCTTTCCTTGGTAAGGGCTGAAGCCCACTGCCATGAGCTGAGTGTCCTTGACAATGCTTCCCACTGGAGAGCCAACTTTGCATAATCCCAGCGGTAGCAGCTGAAGAGATTTAATTCCAAACACATTTATGTTATTATGCAAATATTTGGAAATCATCAACTCTTTCACTTACCTGTGAAGAGCTGAGTTAAGTGTTTCCATGGGAACAGCAACTATTAACCAGTATAGTTAATATTTTTATTCTGGTAGTGTCCAGAGAGCCCAATGAAGATTGAAGACAGCTTGTACAAGGAGCTGTATGAATGCGGAGGATGAAAAAGTTCCTTGTTGAAAGGCAAAGATTATGTTTTAGGAGCTTCAGTGACAAGCACCAGTTCTACCTGGACCTGTAACAACATGGCTAAATGGCCTTGCAACAAGTCCAGCAGCTTTGCCCACACCATTTAATTAAACAAAGAGCCCTATTTATATGGCTTCGAATCCTACTGCATTTTGTGGCCAGGTATTGACTTTAATTGATAATCCAACTCAACCCAGTACCTGCAACATCAGTCCAGTTCCAAGGTTGTGAGGATCTTCCCCAAGTCTCTGGTCTTCAGCTGAGTACAAATTTATGTTAAATATGTATGAGGGCAGCAGTGGGGCAGGACATCATTGGGGTGTCTTGCACAACAATAGGATACTTTGCACTGGTTTACACGTGATCAAAAATCAAGGATGTACTCAAGAGACCCTAAATCCCATAAGATTTTTGGAAAAAATGAACACACTTGTGTGGGTTTGTGTGTGTGCTTTTTTTTTTCCCTCCTTCACATTTCAAGTCTGCAACCACAGCCAGATTACAAGCACCTCTGCTTGAACTTTCCTGAAAAGAGCAACCAGAGTAAAAACTATCACCCCTCCCAAGCTCAGGATGATGGAGATGCTCACAGATTGTGGAGGAATCAGGCTGGAAACATCACCACCACCACAGGCTCTCCTGTGGGCTTCCCTCATTCCTTTGTCCTCCCAGTTTCTTTTTCCACTTGCATTTCTCCTTCTTTTCTTCACCTTCTGTATACTGACGGCCTGCTCTACCCAGCTGGGACTAAGCCACCTTTCCCAGCTCTGCAGCATTAGGAAAGCACAGTCCTAAAAGCAGCTATCAAAAGCAACCCTAGCACAAGGACAGGGTTTGTGTCACCTTGGGAACTTCAGAAGGGTCCAAAAACCCAACAAGGCCAAACATAGATGGCTCATGGTGTGCTTCTCCAAGCCTGCTACATCCATGAGTCGTTAATGCTGTTGTCTCCTGCCCCAAGGCAGTCTGTGAGCAACACAGCATCATGAGTGGGAGATGCACTTCATCTCCCCATTTTCTGTGAGCCTGTTTTGCCTTCAAAAGGACAAACCTTCAGACACATGCAACAAGTCAGAAATGAACCTCCACATATCCATCTCCCCCCAGAGCAGAGCAAATGACTTTCAGCATGAGATGCAAACTGGAAGGCAACGCTCGTGCTATAAAGGACTGTTCAATTGCACCACACAAATAAACTTAAAGTTTTGAATGAATGTAGCCTGATCTCAACAGGAGATTGAAAAGTGCTCAGAAGGACACTTGCAAGAGCACAGAGTCCCTTGGACCAGCCATGCAGCAGAAACCCACACGAAAGGCAGCAAATATTCCTAAATGTCAAAGAGGAAACTACAAAGAGGTCCTCCTCAGATGTGGCTGTCCAAAAACACCTTTCTAGGCATGAGGGACGTTGATTGAGGAGGATGGGATGGGATGATCTTTTCAAAAATAAAGCCAAGAAAACATTACATTAATTTCTGCAGGAAGAAAAAGGCCTTTCTTACCTGTTTCTCCCCATATTGGCAAATATTCATCCTGCTGGATGTCTAGCATGATTTCCAATCCATTGCCTGTCCCACCCTTAACTGTGGTAAGAAGAGGCCGTCCTTCTTCTCCTGAGTTAAACATATAGCATTTCCCATATTTTGTAAACACCTGTGAAAAGAACAGAGAGAAAGTGCCATGTAACAAATGCTTCTTTGCACCTGAACAAAGTAAGAGTGATGAGAAACACCCGTGCATTGTAGCTCAAAGGGAAAAGTCTGCAATTAAATCTAATCTGGTTTAATAATTCAGCATACTGTGTTCTCCTTACAGAAAATAAAAAGGGAAGGAAAGGTGTTTCAGAGCAGTGAACAAATGTCTTTAGCAGCTCGCCTGATCCACACTGTGCTCACTTTCCAAGAAACACAGGCACACGCTGTACTTGAGCTTGTACCGAAATTCAGTGCAATGCTCTCACCGTGCACTGGCAGTGGATCTCACTTGTAAGGTCATAGAATCATAGAAGTTCAGCATGGTTGGGTTTGAAGGGATCTTAACAATCATTGAACCATGGAATCACAACATGGTTGGGTTGGAAGGGACATCAAAAATAGTAGAACCATACAGTCACAGCATGGTTGGATTGGAAGGGATCTTCATGATCGCAGAACCATGGAATCACAGCACAGCTGGGAAGGAAGGGAGCTTAATGCCCATCTAGTTCCAACCCCCTATCATGGGCTCAGACTGGCCTATTCATGGCCTTGGGCACCTCTAGGGATGGGGCACCACAACTTCAAATAGCAAATATCCACCAGGACAGTATCACAAGCTCTTGCCTTTTTGCATCCACTCATCTCCCAGAGCTCGTTCCTGGCTTGTCTAGAGTTGCAAGGGACACCACCACTGCTGGGTTGTGCTCTGACAGTGATATGACTTTAAGGCTCCTTGCAACCCAACCATTCTGTGTTTCAATGATTCTAACAGAGGGCACGAAGCGCCTCGAGCCGCTCTTTGTGGTCACAGAGAATCCGTCTTGGCAATCAGTAAGCAACTGGCAAAGGGCACTAATGAATATTCAGAGCAAAGGGAGCACAAGAGCTGGCTGCAGTCCCACCAGCAGCCTCGGCACAAATCGCCAGGCACTAACACGTCTGCTGAGATCACACGACCCTGGGATGATTCATAAAGCAACACAAAAGCCAGAGTCATCAGCAATTTATTCCCATCAAATATTGACATATATTATAAAGCAATGCATCGGGGAGCGAGGTGAATAAAAAAAAAATAAAATAAAAGAATATTCTGGGGCAGGAAATCATATTCGAGTTATGAACCTCCAATCGGTGCAAAAGGGATGCAGAGCATACAAAGCACTTGCAGGAAAAATGATGTCCTTTTAAAAAAGATTTTATCCAAGTGAAAATCCCTTTTTAATACATGAGTGACCTATTAAACCATTCAGGCTGGAAAGATAATCTGAACAACAGTAAGCCTGTGTTAGCAGCCAGTGCCCGTAGATGGGTTTTCCAGATAGGCTTTGAAGGCAGAAGTCAAAAATGTCTAATTAGGATGGTTTAAAACGTGGCAAGAAGAGAACCTATATGAGTGAAAATCACAGGAAAACTAGTAAGCTTATATAGAAAGCAACAGCACGCTGCAAATGCCAAATAAGGATTTAGACGCTGACGCACCCAGTGCAGCCTTTAGCCAAATAAATCCAGGCAATTTTACAGGGCTTTTTATATTGCCCTTTGCAGCTGTAAAACTTCAAGTGTAAAACCTCCACTTAGGACATTTTTACCCAATAAACAAGCGACGGTGGTCTGAGGCTCACTTTGAGTGCACTTCTTGGACCCCCACCACAGAAAACTCAATCAAACAGTGAGCTGCAAAGGGAGAGACCTCCTCTCCACCCTCAGCAAGGGACCACCAAAGGCTGATGGCAATGGCCACCAGTCTGCCTACTACAGCCATAGTAGATATTTTCTTGTGGGGCAGAAGATGAGAAACAGCGAGCCCAGGGGACAACCTTACCTCCATCACCCATGTCTCCTTTGGGACTCTGCAAGGAAATGTTTTCCTGGGAAGCCCCATTATTTTCTGCTGCCATCACTGAGCATCAAACCTCATCAAAGATCCTGGTGTCTATCTGCCCTCCCATCTCTGCAAATCAGTGTGGTTTTGTACAGCCAAAGAGTGCACCAGAGAAATGATTGTAATATGGAGAACCCACCCCTACAAGTAATCCTGCATCTCTGCTGAAGTCCTAGAATGTAAAAATCTTAGGGTCACCACCAGGTTTAACAGCTAAGCAAAGAACCAACTGCTCAATCAGGCACCAATAAGGGATACATCAGCAAACAGCATGAAGCAAGAGATGTACAGTGTAGAAGTGGAGAGAAGCTGATGCTAAGACTTCACTCTTCTGGGAGCCCATTTTGGGCTGCAGCGTGTCTTTCCTACACAAAGAGTGAACAGCTCCTCAATGCAAAGCAAGCCACGGTAAGTGGGGACAGTTGGGAGATTTGCTCCCACAGCTCCCTCCTGATCCAAGTAAACCAAGTTGGGATGAGATTTAACAAGGCCAAGTGTCAGGTCCTGCACTTTGGCCACAACAACCCCATGCAGCATTACAGGCTTGGGGAGGAGTGGTTGGATGACTGTGAAGAGGAAAGGGAACTGGGGGTGTTGGTTGGTGCTGGGCTGAACATGAGCCCACAGTGTGCCCAGGTGGCCAAGAGGGCCAACAGCATCCTGGCCTGCATTAGAAATGGTGCGGCCAGCAGGAGCAGGGAGGTGAGCATCCCCTGTATTCAGCACTGGTGAGGCTGCACCTCGAGTGCTGGGTTCAGTTTTGGGCCCCTCACTACACAAAAGACATTGAGGCCCTGGAGCGTGTGCAGTGAAGGACAATGAAACTGGTGAGGGGTCTGGAACACAAGGCTTATGAGGAGCTGGGATTATTCAGTGTGGAGAAGAGGAGGCTCAGGGCAGACCTCACTGCACTGTACAACTTTCTGAAGGGAGGTAGTGGTGCAAAAGGGTCTGGCCTCTTCTCCCAGGCAAATAGTAGGACCCGAGGAAACAGCAAGAAGTTATACCAGAGGAGGTTTAGGTTGGACATTAGGAGAAACTTTTTCTCTCAAAGGGTGGTCAGGCACTGCAATGGCTGCCCAGGGAGGTGGTGGAGTCGCCATCCCTGGTAGCGTTCAAGAGCCACCTGGATGAGGAGCTACGAGAGATGGTTTAGTAGCTTGTGGTGCTAATAGGAATGGGAGGGTGGTTGGACGAGATGATCTTGCAGGTCGTTTCCAACCTTGTGATTCTGTGATTCTGTAACCCCATGAAGAGTCCTCCATTGGGGTTCAGGCTGGCTTGTGCTGCTCCTACTGCTGACATCCAGCAGCCATCGTTGGGAGAGCACTGCAGAGGACTGAAAATCAAAGAGGACGAAGTGAGAGTGGAGAACTGAGAGCCATTCCCTGCAGGTTAAGGTACCCACAGGAAAAGGCAGCCCTAAGCCGTGGCTGACAAGCCCAAGAACGGGCATTGAGTTGAACCTCAGCTTGAGCACATCAGCACTGGTTCCTGAGCAGTGAAGGCCTTGAGGCCAACAGCTCTCCTTGGAATAGAACTGTGGAGAGCAGCAGACATTAAACAGAGCCTCTGAGGGTTTATATCTTCCTCTGTGGTACAGCTCTGATTGATGCCCGCACCCCACTGCTGGCTCCTGCTTTCCACCACCCGTACCACAAGGCCTTCCATCTTTCCCTAAGCAGCTATAAAACTCTATTTATAACAGCATTTTAAAAAGCATTGCCAAGTTCCAAAACCAAGCACATTCATTTCAATTCACATTCAACGGGGCTGAGCTGTTCCCGACCTTCTCACTTCTGCTATGAATGATTGTACAGGAAGATAAAGCTTTTTCAGTACATTTCCTCAGTTTCAGGATCTTTTGGGCTCCCTGATAACAGGGCATGGGTTTGGGGGGAGTCAGACCATTATCAAATCATCAAGATAAAAGGATGGAGCTGTTTGGAAAGGGTAACAGCAGAGCTGCTGTGGTACATCTGAGATGGTAAACACGAGGTAAACCAGAATGATTTAACCTCAGTGTATTTGTCTTAGGGGAAAGCAGCAGTGCTTGCTGTTATTAATGCTTTAACTGAAAATGGAAAGGAAGCCCAGCACTAACCAGGAAAAAAACACAATGCTTTGAGAGTTACCTATGAAAACACCAAATTTCTCCTTTGATGCATTGCTTTGACTTTTGCCTCTGCACCCATTAAATGCAAAGGTAAACAGATCAAAAAACGTGAAAGAATATTTGAGTGCCATAAGGATCCCTTCCTCGTGCTGACACATCGAAGGAGAAAACCTTCTCTCTCATGGAGTTAAAGGCAGAGCATGGACAACTCAAACTCACTCCATGTGCAAAAACGAAGACACAATCAAAAGCTCAGAGGCAGAAAAGTGTATCCTGCTGCGTGTCAAACCAACAGTCTGAAAAGGACTCATATCCAAAATGCAAGCAAGCCTGACCAGAGTAATAGAGAAAAAGGTATTTCACAGTTTATAATCAGCACAGACAGGACAAGCATATCTGCTGATAAATTATCCTTTCAATATGGAGCAAAATGATGGTAAAAGCAAGTAATTTGAAGTCTGTAAATTACTTCTCTACATCAGACAGAGATGCAGCCAAGAGCTCACTGACGAGGAAAGATGTTATTTGTTAGATTAAGGCAATGACCACTGAAAGGAGGGTGAATTAGCATCCTTCACAACCATTTTCCCTGCAATTGTGGGACACAAAGATTTAGAGACATATCGTCTCCAGTCACATCTAACAGCACAACAGACAACAGAGAAGAAAGAAAAAACTGAAGGACTTTCCACACAGGTCCAGGAAAACACGAGAATCAAACTGAAAGGGGGAGCACAGGGATGGGTTTGAGTAGGAACCTACAAGAGATGGTGGAAATGATCACGTTCAGGAGGAAAGATGGCTTTATTTCTGAGCTTTTGGTCCATGCACACAGCACAGCTCTCCTGTGGCACCCACCGAGCCACATCAGCATGTCACTGGAGGTGTGAGGAATGACCCAGCCCAGTTGGCTCTGTGAAGCTGCCTTGCAATGGTCCATTTGCCCACACTTAGGCAG